CTGGCCACTCAAAACATGCTTTCGGCGTGCACTAACGGTGGCGACATCTGAATAAAACAGAAATATTTCGTGAAACTATAATTTTATTTATTATTATTTATTATCGACATCGTCATTTATAAATCGTTTTATTTTTGCATCTATTTATTTCTATATTGAATACATTTTCGATAATTAATTATAATTAATAATAATAAAATATACAATTGAAGACGCTAGACAATTGGTTAGAATAATTTTTTTCTCTAGATGCCTTTATAATTAAATTTTAAATGAATTATAGAAGCAATACTAGTAAAATACGTATTATTTGTAATATAAGTTAGCCCTAAATTTAGTTAACCGAGTCGTACTGTATTTTTAACCCATGGTTAGGAGAATTGTTTGACATTCGATAAAAACTGAAGAAGACCTTGAAAAATTAGAAGATTCACAAGAGAATCTTCTAATTTTTCAGAGAATCACACAGTCAAATCTTACTCAAGAGGACATTCCGTTATCTCCCGCTTCTACAGAATCACCTATAGAAATACAAGAATTTACCGATAGTAATCTTAAACTGCCTTCTATACCGTTGATTGATGATGCAGTCACGAAGAATATTCAGTTACCCTGCACCTCCAAGGAATCGCCTCTGCAAGTTGAAGAAGTCATCACTGAGTTACTCTCAACTTCAGCAGAATCGCCATCACAGTTTCGTACGGAGCCTGTAAAGAGCACTATACAAGACATAGTCTGTATTGTTTGCTCAAAAGCAGCATCAAGTGCTCACAAGTGTAAATCGTGTAATATGTTTGTTCACGCAGTTTGTGGTGAAGTAGATCCTAAAGAGGAAGGGTATGGTAAGAATGTATTGTGCATCATCTGTAAAAAGAATATGGATCAGAAAATACAGCGTGATGAAGCCAAGAAATGTTTAGAAAAGCAAGCAAAGAAAATGTTAGCAGTTTCTAATGCAAAGCACCCAAACGTCGATGAAGGTTTCGCTGTGAGAATTAAAGTACCCGAAGAAGACAGAGCAAAAACTGATGCACGTTCAATTTTAGCTGTGGTTCTTAGTAAAACAGAGGATGGCTTTTATAAACTTGATACTAAAACAGGTATTTTAAAACAATTGTATGCAAAATCTGAATTCAGTGTTTGCAAAGAGAGATTTTTAACGAAAGAAGATGGATGTCCCTGCTGTAGAAATATCTTTACGTCAAACAGCAATAAAACAATCCCTTGGTACTGGGCAGGGTTTCAGAAAATGTGACTGCAAATCTAAATGTACCACAAATAGGCGTGCTTGTCGCAAAAACCAATTGCTACGTAATTCAAAGTGTCACCAATCTTTAGATTGCACTAATAAGTAAGTACAATTTTATCATATGTTTTGCAAATTCATTTCCCTAATTGTAGTAATATTTTAAACCGTTTGATTTTTGTATTAAAGTTTTTTTAATTGATTGATGATTGATTCAATCAACTAATTTGTTGATTGTATTAACTTGATTCTTTAGATATTGAAAATTAAATAAATAACATTATGTTAATTTAAGCGTACAGAAACGTTGCTGTTGTTCCAGCAAAAATCTTATTTTCACTTTACCGAGTGCCTAGTAGGTAATTTGCAGATTACCTAGATAATCTGAACATTACCTAGGTAATTTGAGAAATGGAATAATTTTCGCAGCTTTAACGGATCACCCTAGTTAATCTGCAGATTAGCTAGGTAATGCGCACATTAACGGATTTCGAGGTTTAGCGGTAACATATATATTGCATACAGGGGCAGATCTACATGGGGACTAATAGGGCTTAAGCCCTGGGCTCTCAAGTGTCAAGGACCCACAAAAAATGAATTATTATCATAAATTTTTAATACTTTTTCATATTGCCGTAACTAGGCAGGTGAAACAGGTGCACCCGCACAGAGTCCACTTATAAGGGGCCCAAAATGCATGTATTTGTTTTATTATTTTCCCAAACCTAATTGATTAAGGGGCTTAAATGCAAATTCTTGCACAGGGCATAGGAACGGCTAGTTACGGCACGTACAATTTCAATTTCGACGGGTTAAAAATGGAAATTTATAATCGATGTTCTTAAATATCAATAGTAAACACAATTATGAGCCGAACCATTTGAAATGATTACAATAATAAATTAAGCCATTTATTTATATTGGTTTGTTTTGTTTTCTAAAAATATCTACAATTAGATATCAATATTAAATTCGATAATAAGAAGCATCTGTCAAAAGTGATTATGATATAAAGTTTATCTTATCGGCAATTCGTAATTTTATGACGTTTAAGTGTACGATTCAGGATTAATCAATGAGAATGGCGTTTTCTCGAATATAATTTACCGAAACAGTACAGTACATCAGCATCAATACTAACTTCTAATTTAAAATTCATATTAAGGCTTGATTGGGTTTAATAATTTCGATATTTAACCTATTACGAAACAAATTTTTAAATGCGGATCACCCGACGAATTTCTCACTGGTTTAACCAATAAACGAAAAATACAGGTGTCACGTGACTGCTTCTTCAAATACGGTAAACAATGATCCTACGTATGTTTCAGCAGTTAAGTACACAAGCACGGATGTTCGCAGAAAATTGTTAAGAACTAGTTTTAAAATATTCTTATAACGTTCACACACAAAGCAATTTTATTGCTTGCTGCTGTAACTATTTTTTAAAAAACTCCGTCTTTTGGACTCTTCAGGCCTGTTATGGATTTGACCAGTTCAAAAATTGGGGGAGCCGGATGGTGTGGAATGGGCACGCGGAATTTGCAGGTAGTTGATAATGACAATATGTTCCTGGGAGTTCTCTTGGATTGAACCGATCCTCCCGAGCGGTTGATTAACGTCTTAGCTGCAATCCACTCTCCTGCAATAATTATAACACTTAGCATAAACTTGTAAACTTTATCAGATAAAAATACGATAGATTTGCATCCTTCATTATGTATTTTCTTCTTTCTAGCCCATATTTTGTACATATACTAATGATAGACTATCTCTGTGCCTTATCTTAATGGTAATAATCTTCAGCCGCTTTATACGAAATTTTAAATTAAAGTTAAATCTTACGAATAAAGTTATTATTAGAGTAAATTATCACATAAAACATGAAAATATTAATTGACTAATATATGCATTTATATCACAAATTTAATAAATATATATTAGAGGAGAAGGTGGTATTATGGAACCCCAATTACATTTTAGTGAATTGTAAACAAGGTATCATAACTACACCCACAGTTTTTGTGCGAAAAGTACTGGTAACTAGTAAACTAAATGTTCCTAATTGGATTTCTCGCTAGTGTAATCATAAGTATGGTTTTTGAAGGGTTTTGTACAAAAAGTCCGAAAGTAGGCTTAGAAAAAATCGGGTGGTAATATGGAACCTTACTGTATATTTTCAAAAAAATGCTTTAATGTAGCCAAAAACAAATAGGAAAGGACAAAAAATGTTAAATAATTACAAAATTATTTACTCCAATGTATTTTATCGCAAAAATGCTTTTATAATAGAAAAATATGACCTCCATCAACAATATATATTCCAGCAGCTCTTTTTCGATATTTTCAGACTTTCTACCTAGTGTCTTTTTCCCAAATTGCTCCGGACGAATGTCTGATTGCAAAGAGAGAGTTCGGAGGAGTTGAGTTCCATATTACTGTAAAAGCACCAAAGGGGTCCGTATTTCACGCATCGCCATCTCGAATTAACTTATGTCTGTCGAGACCAAAATTTAAAAAACGTGAACATCACACAGATTAATATGTACCCCTAAGTCTCTGGAACGGAATACATGCACCAGTGAACCTACAACTACACGATTTATATTTTAAAAATAATTAAATTCACTTAGCATTCAAAACTTGCGAATTTTGAAAAAAACAAATTTGCTGATTAAATGCGGACAACCGTTTAACTGAAGTAAAACGGGTTTTCCCCTTGCTATGGATGTCTGTCTAGTTCAGTTCAGCCACATTCCGCTACAGTTTGCCTTTATTATCAGTTCGAAATGAGGTGGTTCCATAATACCCGCAGTGTTCCATAATACCACCTTCTCCTCTATAATAATCACTGTAAAAATCCAAGAGTATCAGGAAGATTCAAGTGAATCTTCTCGAACAACAAAAGTTGATTGGTATATTGTATACAATATATTATCATTGGCCATGCAATTTATCTAGAGAAGTTTCATAATGAATTTAGAACTTAAAATTACACTTAACAATAAAAATCATTAAAATGTAGGCCTATACATTTAGAATCATATTGTAAAAAAATGGATGAAATCGAAAGAGATTCGAAAGAAATTTGAAAAATGTAAGATTGTAGAATTAATGGATTAAGACAAGGTAATTGCAACGTGAGTAATCTGTCAAGGCGGAGTGACTCCCAGAAGGACGTTTAAGAGAAATTGGCCGCTATTTGGGTGTTAGACATGTGAAGAATACCCGGAAAACACGTGGCTAACCTGTTCGCGAGGCGTGAACCAAGACTAACTACCAGTGTTTACTGGTTTTACCACTGGAAAAAATAAAAAAATAATACTTAAAATCAAAAGTCTTAATACAAAACACAAGAAAAAGCATAATCGGTAATTTTATACACAGAGTAATGGCGTCACAATTATTTCTTAATGTCGATCCCATTCCTCACCACCCGACTGCCTTGATTATATGCCTAGCACCCACGATAGGCATGGCGAAAAAGCCTTTTTAGTGCCGATAGGACGGAAAGATTCGAACATAAAAATAAAATAAAATGATTATTTATTAAGTAGAATACAAGGAAAACCTTATTCTATAAACAATCATAGCATTTTTAATAAATAATGACACTATTGTGATATAACTACCACGGGTTTACTTATTAATTAACATTATAATTATCCTAACTCTATAACAACGATTGATCAGGACATTCTTATTACAGTAGAATTCGGCGAAATATAAAATTATTTAAGCTAAATCTACTTACTTTGGCAGGAAACATGATTCTCTCGAGTAAAATTCAGCTTTCATATAATTTTCATATGATACACAACTCTTTATATTACTCTCCTATCTATTTTAAACGGTATTCTGCAGTTGTACTAGTTATAAACTTTCTCTACAAAGCTACTGGTCATCATAAATTTATATATAGCCACAGAATAATGGACGTTCAAAGGTAACATCCGAAAAAACCAGCCTTGACTCAATATAAATCATTATAGTTTATTATTATACAGATAAAGAAGGCGATAAATATTGCATTTTTCCATATTCACAAAAGAAAGTTTGGACTTTAATCCCAACTTGTCACGCCATAGCTGTAAAAATACTACCAAGGGGAGGCTCGGATGTGGTTCCTATAATAATAGAAATTGTTAATATATTGACTTGGACAGTGTGTTGAAATATTACTGTAAGAAACAGGGGTTGTGAAATGTCACATGATCGGAATTTTTCCTGATCACTAACACATATCGTGTTAGAGGAATGCCAAGCACGTGGTACAGAATTGCACCGAGTAAACATAAACCGTGCAACATGCACGCTTACGAAAAATATTTTAAAAATTTTTAATTATTCAACTTTACAGGTATATTTACAAGTTTACATAAGCGTAATATTGATGAAGTCTGTTTACTTCGTGGTTTATCACACCTGAAATTATAATTTTCCTCGAATGTTACACATTTACTCTTCATATATTTATCAATATTTATTTTAGTTAAAAAGATAAAAAGTTTAATCATCTGTTTATCTTGCTGTCAAAAATTTGATAGATTAGTTTCATTTAGATGTTTACTCTTAATGTATAAGAAGATAAGTAATTCAAGTACTTCAAATTTCTTGTTTTAGAACATAAAATATGAAAATTTTCCCAGTGAAAAAAGCTACATAATAAGGGAAATTTCCTTAAAAGAAACGGAAAGTTTATTACCGAAAAACTCCCTTTTTATTCAGGGAATTTCCTTATGTTAGGGTTTTCGTGGGGAAATTTCGCACGTTACATTTTTAAAATAAGATATTATTTTCCCTATCGAAAATGTGTATAATAAGGATATTTTATTTTCCCTAAAAGAAAAAAATTTACTACTGAAAAATCCCTTTTTTTTAGGGAAATTTCTCTATTATAGGGTTTTTAGGACATTTTGTTTTACGAAAATACCCTTATTATACAGATTTTCGATATGAAAAATAATAAAAGAAAACATTTATTTTGAAAATCTAGAACAAACTAAGTGCCAACTAAACATCACATACATTATAAAATAGGGTCAAATAAAAATATAAAAATAAAGAATTTACAATTACAGTAACATTTCGATATCGATTTTTTCGAAATAATAATAAAAAAATTACAAAACATTCAAATGTAATTTAACAATATTTTTAATCCTAATATTAGTTAATGTATTATTTATTTTTTATCAATTAAAGTAGAATCTATTATGAAATAAATTTTAATATAAAATATTTAGAAGACGGAGCAAAAAATTTAAGTAAAATATTATTTATATAATTAAGTTTAAACGTAAACATAATGTTCTTGAAGAATTTTTCTATTTATATAATGTTTCTTTACGTTCAAATAAGAGGAAATTCCTCTCTTAAAAATAAAATAAAATTTTAAATAAATAGATTAANTAAATTATAAAAACGAAAATTTCTCTACAAAAAAAAAAAAACACTTAAGATTCATTTTTCTACCCAAAATAACTTGAATTTATCTCGAATTATTCCCTATAAATTAAATATTTAGCAATAGGTTACAAAGAATTTTTTTAAAATAATATCTTTAAGTTTCCCCAAATAATCCCTAAAATAAAGAAATATAAATTTAAGTTTAAAAAAATAATAATAATAAAATTTTCCTTTCCTTATATCCAAATTCAGAAAAAGAAAAATTTCCTTTAAAAAAATTTTTTTTTTCAATCCAAACAATTTGAATTTATTCCTAATAATTCCCAATAAATTACATTTTTGTAATAAATTACAAGGAAATTTTTAAAACAAAATATGAATTTTTCTTTCAAAAAATCCCTATCGTGGAGGGAAATTATACTACTCGATAACTCGTTACGTAGATTTCGTGAGTAAAATACAGAAATATTTTATAAGCATAAAGTTCTTACGTTCGATACGTGTATTTTATAGCAGATGCAATTGTTAAAAATTTACGATTTCCTTTCCGAAAAACGCAAAAGGAAACATTAATATTTAATAATACAAATCTTTATCAGAAACAAATGTTCAAGTCGTAATGACCGTTGAAATACTGCCCGAAATTTCCCTAATTTATACTAATTTTTTCCCTTGTTTAAACAGATGGAATAACATGCTAATTTCGTGCTAATATTTCTCAAACCTGTATAAAAAAATTAAATTAAAATTTTAATTAATTTATTTAAATATTTTTTATTGGGTTTTTTTTTTCCTGTTATAAAAAGGAAAAATATCAGTCTTATTCCCTTAATTTATTCAAATAATTACATAAAATGTACTTCCATTAAGTTAATGGCCAAATTAGAATTCGTTTTTATAACACGTGAAATTTTCCTAAAATAAGCATGTTTAACTTTTCCCCATTAAAAACTTTTTATAAACTCTTATAGGGAAATTTCCTTAAGTGTCTTCAAATATATGAAATTATTTCTATGTTTTTAATTAATTTCAAGAATTGTTTTGCATATTATAATTTGGTAAATTGCGTTTAAGGAATTATCGTTAAACGTGGAAAAATTTCCGTAAAAATTGCTTAATTTATTGATATTTAGGGATTTTTCAGTCGTTGAAAAAATATTTAAAATTTCTCTTCAAGTTTTCGAAGGTGGCCGTTGTTTGGAGGTTATTTTGTATTCATATTCGTTAAATGAAAAACTGTTTACGAAAAATAACCGCAGTTATTACAGATTCAACTGTATTTTATCAACTTAAATAAGAAAAAGTTTAAGAAATTATTTTTAAAAAATTCTTTGTATCTCTATAATTATTTACGTTTTTAATTTTAGGGAAATTTCAGTGATGACTTTAGAAAAAATTCGTTAAATGAAACGATTTTTTTCCGTAAAAAATTCGAAAAATTCCCTTGATTTTAAAGATAATTTAACTTAACTAAATAATTTTTAGGGGAGTAAAAATTCTTGAACGACAAATTTATATACAAGAGCGATAACAATCTGTCGATGACGCATTTATGTAACTGTGGCATGGTAAATTTAAAGAAAAATATTTGTTTTAAAGGACCAAAAAAGCACTCGATACGTCCCGATCTCCACTATTCGGTATACCGGCTTACATATATTCTAAGCGTGTTATTGTCGTCCTGACAACAGATATTGGATTCAATCACGTGACCCGAAGGAACGTATATATCGAGAGCGTATAATTGACATCTGTATACTCTCTATACTACATCTATACCCTTAAGACATGGACGACAAATCCGTAGACCGGATATTTATGGGGTCTTTAGTCAATATGCCACCCGTCAGTTCGAAAATCGTTAGGATATTCACCAGTTCGACTTTCACAGGTATGGTAATTGGCGTAAGAGCATCGTCTTAGATAATATTTGCATAAGTTAGGCGCGAAGATGGCATCATTTTACACATTGCAAGTATATTGTATTTTATACAGGAGCATGTTACGCGCTTAATTTAAGAATTTATTATCAAATTGTTATGTGGGAAGGTTATAAACGATAATACAAATTCAATAAGTTGCGTGTGCATGACTATAAACAATTTATATACGTTTGTATATAGATATGTCACTGGAACGTAATCACTTAATGGAAGATGTTTACCCAAAAATTAAGGAATTCTGTAGAGAAAAACATGGACTGGAATTTCAAGTAAGTATATATATATATAAATTATATCTAAAAATATATTTCTGTAGGGCATTCAATAAGCATTAACTGGAGAAGGGTGTTAATGGATCACGACACGTGACGTTCGTTTAATGCTGTATTTTAAAATGGCAGTCAATTATTTTATAAAAATAAAAATAAAGTAAGAGAAGTGTACGCTGAAAAGGACGAAGGTAAGAATAAAAATTTATTATTTTTTTCTTTATGAATTTTTAAAGGTGGTAGATATGAGGTGGGGTGTAAGAGATGAAGCGACCGACGACCACATGACAACTGATTTATGTATGAGAGAAATCCAAAACTGCCAAAGATTATCCATGGGACCTAATTTTGTGGTAATTATAATTACTTTCCTAATTAAGGAAATTATAAAATACCCATAATTAATTAAAATTAAAATTTTCAGGTTTTCCTGGGACAAAAATATGGCTATAGACCGATTCCCACTATCATCGATGGTAGCGAATTTCGTCAAATTGTGGATGCTCTGACCGTTATGGGTTACGATAATACGTTGCTGAGCACGTGGTATCAGGAGGATACAAATGCCATCCCTTCTGTTTTCGTTCTACAACCGATAAGCTCCATCTTACCGAACTTCAATAACAAGGTAAGCCACGTGGAAATTAATTTAGGAAAAGAAAATAACTCTACAAAAATCCATTAATTCTCACGTAATTTGTACATTAATAACTCACTCATCGATGACAAATTTCACGAGAGTTTTGCGTGCAATTTCATTTTGTTATCCTGTTAATAATGAGGTATCGATTAATAAAACAGTCATTTTCTTGTGTATAACAAAAGGAGTTTAAATAGTTTAATTTAATTTTTTTTTTTTAAGAGAATGCCACAACTGCAAGCTCAAGATCAGTCGACTTGGTGGACAACTCTGGAAAATCTCCAAAAATTTCTTCGAATTGCGGCTCAGGCTTTGTACGAAACTAAGAAAATGGATAAGGATGCAATGCATAATTACATGATGTCAGGTATTATATTCGACAATAGTTTTATCAGTTTTCTAGCTTTGAACCTTTTACGTTCGATAAACAAATATGAACTTAAACTACAGGGTGTCCCAAAAATCAGTTAACTATTATAAAAACGAACTTCCTGTATTATTTAAAAATGTAAATACTTACTTATACGTTTGTTTAAAACCACGTTTAACACTAGTTTTGTACGAGAAGAACATCTTTACAATTCATATTCATAGGTATATCTGAAATATAAGAAATAAAATATGGTTAACTGACTTAAGCGCCATCCTGTATTACATAAAATAATTTAATTTACATTCTTTAAAATATGTAAAAATAAATAAATCCACAGATCTGACTGTTTATTTTATTTTATTGACCTGTATTTATCCAGTAGAAATGAAATTTAAAAATACATTTATTAAAATTGAGTGTATAATAATTACAATGCAGTAGAGTTACGTGTATATTGTGTAAAATTATGGTAAATTTCATCACAATGTCTACATTTATTTAAATATAGTCAGATCAGTGTTAATAGCATTCTCAGCATTAGTGCTGAGTATATATAGGATGTTTATAAATGAATGGTGCGGTTTTAAAAATTAATAATAAATCTATATTTATTATCTTATATGGGCAAACCTTACAGCATAAGCAGCGGCAACTGTCCAAGTTTTTTATGCGCTATCCGCTCTTCGTTTGTCATGCTTAATCGTGTTCTTCACCAACGTTGGATTGGACGCGGTGCAACAGTAGACAACAACCTGCTCCCCTAGCCACCCCGTTCGCCAGATTTAACAACCTGCGATTTATTTTTTGTGGGGTTTGTTAAAGACCAAGTTTATGTACCGTCAATGCCCTTGTCCCTTGAGGAACTGTGTGATCGGATAAAGCATGCACTGCAGACCATCACGGAGGACATGCTACACAGCGTATGGGAAGAATTTGATTACCGTGTCGTGTGACCATGGGTACACATATTGTTGGACAGTTGCCGCTGCTTATGCTGTAAGGTTTGCCCATATAAGATAATAAATAGATTTATTATTAATTTTTAAAATCGCACCATTCATTTATAAACACCCTGTATTATCTGTATTATCTAATAAGTCCCCTATATAGTATTCCAGCGCAAGAACTAGAGCATATAATGGAATATATATACTAGAACACTATTCTATTAATAGTATATAGCTAATGGAACGATGTTCTAGTATATACAGTCTATTATATGTTCTAGTTCTAGAGCTGTAATAGTGTTCCAGTATATAACTACAATCTTTAGCTGTAGCTACATATTGGAGGAGTGTTCCGGTATATTCCAGCACTATGCTCCTGTATATACATTCCAGTATATGTCCCATGTAAAAACTATTTATAAGGCTCGCATAAAGTTACACGTATGCAACCAGGGGCGGATCTAGGATTTTCGGGGACTAGGGCTTATTGAAGTCCAATGGGACCGCCTTTTTTTAATATAAATAATACTATAAATTATCATAATTATGATATTATTACTATTAACTATTTTTTACTATACTATTTCATTGTTGATGAAAAAGTATTAAAAATTTACGATAATAATTCAATTTTTGTGACCCGCCCTTGACACTTGGGGGCCCAGAGCTTAAGCCCTATTAGTCCCTATGCAGATCCACCCCTATATGCAACATACATATTTGAAAATTATAATGTTTCTTGTCAATGTCCCTAAATGCAGGTATCCCACTCCCTGCACTAGTAAGACCACTATAATATTTCGGTATCACGTGATACGGGCTTAAGCTGTACTTTATAATTACCATATAAAATTTTGAATAAATATATTATTATTATTACTTAATAACGTAAGAAAATTAAAATTTTCTAATTTATTTATTATGAAAAAAATATGATTATGTATTATTAATTGATGAATAAAAAATAATTTAAATTTTATCTGTCGCCATCTAGTGACGGAAAGAGAAGTTATTAATGGTATCCTCAACGTAAAAGATACAAAAAATCATTGCCTTGCTTACGTACGCCATATAAATAATATAAATATGGGAAACTTGAGAGAAGCTTCTAAATTTATCGATGTTATCAATAAAAATATCGACGTGGAGGCTCAAAATTTGTTAAATAATCTTAGAGACGAAAGACTTGTAGAAAAGATAGAAAAGTCCAATTTTATGAAGTAGGTGGATGGCTTTCAGTAATTCGCTTGAAATATATATTATCTCAATTTCTATTGCATTAAATTCATTTAAAGTTTGTTAATTAATTTAAAAATCGAAGAATTATAATATTAAACATAGAATACTATTATTCTGCCATCTCGCGGGCATAAATATAATTAATTAAACGTCATACAGTATTTAAATTTTTAAATATTCATATGCGTTTATACTGTATTTACTAATAATTAATGTAATTTTATCCCCGGTGGATATAAATATTGATCTCTTTATTTTAAAACAGGTACACGGTGGAATGGAATGGGAAGGACGGATTAGATGACGAAACGCATGCTGATTACTTAAAACACTTTAAGTGCCATTTTTATAAATACATAACAAAGCTAGTTGATAGAGCTATGAGAAAAGAAGATTTATCCTCTCAAGGGCAGATTGTAACAGAGATATTACAACACTTGTATTCTTGCAAGAACACAGCAGAAGTTTTTCAAGGAAGAGAAGAGGAGTTGCAATATATAAAAGACTACATTACGAACACCTGCAATAGGCCTTTGGTGCTTCACGGCGATGGAGGAAGCGGAAAAACATCCCTTCTAGCCAAAGCTGCTAGTATGGTGCCAACGTGGTGCCAAAATCAGAAAGCCATACAGATTATACGTTTCTTGGGCACGACACCCGACTCTTCCTCGGTGGTGCCCATGTTGGCTAGCATATGCCAACAGATCTGTTACAATTATTTAATTCCTTTGACTGAAGTCCCCGATGAACATATACCTCTAATTGTATATTTTAAGCGTTTGTTGAGCCAAACTACCAAAGAACAGCCCCTGTACATATTTTTAGACTCGGTTGATCAATTGGCATCTGCAAACAATTCAAATAAATTGACATGGCTGCCGACGAGACTCCCTCCCAACGTCAAGCTTGTAGTATCGGCAGTATCAGAGGGAGAATGTAAAGATTTTGAGATTTTGTCGAAGATGATACAAGACACAAAATGTTTTCTTCGTGTGTTGCCCTTAAGTGAAGACGTAGCAACATATGTCATTAAGGTATGGTTGAAACGTGAAGGAAGAGGATTGAGTTCGTATCAGTGGAGCATCGTGCAGAGTGCAATATCAAAATGCACATTGCCTATTTTTGTAAAATTGGTTTATGCAGAGGTGATCAGATGGAAATCTTACACTAGGATCAGTAGTAACAGTTTAGCTTACACTGTAATGGATAGTATCATGAAATTATTTGATAGAATAGAAACACAGCATGGCAAATTGCTGGTCTTTCACGCATTAGCATATATTACAGCTTCTAGAAACGGATTGAGCGAATCAGAACTCGAAGATCTTATATCTTTGGACGACATCGTCTTGGACGATGTGTATCAATACCATTTACCACCTGTTAGAAGGATTCCTCCTCTGTTATGGACACGTATACGCAGAGATCTTCCAAATTACTTAACTGAGAGGGAGGCCGGTGGCATTTCTGTTATGAATTGGTACCACATACAATTCCGTCAGGCTGCCATCGAGCGTTATTTCAAAAATCAAAATACTGTTAACTACTTCCATTCCTCCATAGCCGATTACTTTTTGGGAAAATGGGGAGGAGGAAAGCCGAAACCGTTCACTTATACAGAAATGCAGAAACAAAGATTCAATCTTAAGGACAAATCGGGTGAAGCGGATCGTAAAGTACCCTTACAGCCTCTGTATTTTACGAGCAAGGACGGCAAGATACGTTATAATCTGAGAAAATTTGGAGAACTGCCGTATCATTTAGTTCGAAGTCAGAGGTTTGATGATATGTTTAATGAGGTTCTGTTTAATTATTCATGGCTACACAGTAAGTTAGCCAGTTGCCCATTGCAGTCTGTGTTATCAGATTTTGAAGATACCTGCAATAACATCTCTAACACAGCGGTTGTAAGAGAAATGAATCTTGTGGCCGATGCATTAAGATTAGGTGGCGCTGTACTTAGTCACTATCCCGACATGCTGGCTAGCCAGTTACTGGGTAGATTGCTACCTTTAAAAAACTCTTATAAACTTATACAATGTTTGTTAAACGAGTGCGATCACTTGGGACCCGAACATTGCGCTTTGCTTCCATCGTACCATTGTTTGCATACTCCAGGAGGCCCATTGAAGTACTCATTGGAAGGCCAGCAATTTGCAGTTTTTGGCTTTGTTCTGACTTCGGATAAGAGATACATCCTATCCGTCTCAAACAGATTTATTATGTGGGATCTATCGACCGGAGAAATTACTCGAGATATCAATCCTGATATACCAGGAATCATGCAAACTCTAGTATTAACAGAAGACGACAGATTTGCCGCTTCGTATACTAATTACGACGATATTTTGATACTTAATCTACTTTCTGGAGATGTTTATAAACGAAGAATCGAGAGCGACGTAGAAAATTCTATAATAGGGCTCAGCATAACAAATTCGAGTGTTATCGCATGGAGTGAGAAAGCTTGGTTAGTTTTTAAACTCGAAACAAATGTTTTAGATGAAAAATACGTCTTGGATGATGAAAATTTAACTTTAATCAGCGTTTTATATGATAACTGCAGTGATTATCATCTACTTCTTAATAAGAAAGATGGCGAAACTCAATTATTAAGGAGTTTTATAAATGGTAAATATCTCAAAGATATACATTTCAATGGTGGATTAGTGTTCAGTGAGATTCGCCATTTTGTTTACTTGGTACAATCGAATATTATTGGAGGATATACAATTACCGGCTACGAACTGTGTAAAAATTCCGGGTGGTGTCAAGCTAAAGTGTTCTATAGTACACCCCAGAAGGTGCTTCAGTTAGATCTCGTTGGAAGAAACGAATGCATATGTGTAACCGTCTCTCTGGGATTTAGCATCTGGAATATAGAAAAAAAGAAAGAAGTATCGCTATCCCTCCCGAAAAACGTGAGAAACATATCAATTAAACCGTTGAAATCTCAAAGTTCTCTAGTTCTAACAAAGAACAAGATGTATGCCTTGGGTGGAGTTAGGAAATATCTGTACCTATGGGATATGGAAAGCGAAAGAATGGTCAAAACCATAGATGCTCATTTCGGGCGCATACTTGGCTTGAAGACACTCACAGTAGATGAAATGGATGCTGTTGTATCCTCTTCCATTGACAGAACGGTGAAAGTATGGAATATTAAGAATATTTTCGAGCAAGTTCACGTGATCGATAGAATGGAAAGCGCCATAGATGCAGTTTATTTGGTCGACGTTCATAATTTAGCCGTAACTGTAACAAGAAGTTGTATTGGAATATGGGCATTGACCACAGGAAAACTAATAACAAAGTTAGCCGACAGCTCTATTGGTGCCATTGTCACTCACGCAGCAGTCACTTCTAGTGGCAGATATATAATATGCGCGGAATCTGGAAACTGTTTAGTGTGGGACATGGAAATTGGGGAAGTGACAAAGAGGATACCTCATAAAAATATTCTGCAAATTCTTCTGGTTCAGGATTCTAAAATGTTGATACTCTCGCAAGAAAAGGAGAAGCAAATCCTGTGTACATATTTAAGTCTTCCAAGCTGCGAGGAGGAATACAGCTTTACCTACCAGTACACCATTTTTAGAAAAATGGTGGTGACCTGCAAAGGGGAGTATCTAGTATTTGTAAATACGGAAAAAGAAAGGGAATATATTACTGTATACAGTACTGAAACAGGAGTTTACCTCCATAAAATACCACTGAGATTACGCGCTCTTAAAGGTTTCACTGAATTAATTGCCATACCCAATAACAACGATCAAGTGGGTTTAATCGGGGGGTCTAAATCGTGCATTATTGACATAAAAGCGAAAAAGCTAGTAAGGATTTACAGTAAATGGAACGGATCTTGCACTAGAGATGGTAAATTAGGTTTACACTCTCCTTCTAAAGGCGGTTTGGAATTAGTAGAATTGAGAAAAGGGACGATCACCAAAGTGCTTCTTCCACAAATTTCCGAAGGTGTCTTCAACGTGGTAGCAAAATTTACAAGATCCGATCGTCACGTTATTTACTACCACAGTGGCAAGAGGACTATCAGTTTGTTTCGAGTTAAGGATGGGAAGATGATCGCCAATTACAGATTATCAGCGGAAGCTAATGCCATCACCAGCACACGAGACGGTTTATCTATAGTGGTGGGTGGTATCGATGGTAGTTTTGTGGTTTTATCGGTAGTAGACCCCGACATACCAGAGACTAAAACACGTTTGGCTTCTCTACCGAGCAGGACTGATGACAATAAAAGCCCTCTGAGCATTTACTGTAAGAACAACGGTAAAATATCTTTTAAATTTTATTGATAGAGGGAAGATTTTAACCATAGAGGATTGAAAAAGGAAATCCTTCTCCTGTTCATAAAGAAAGTTCTAAGAAGATCCTTCTCCCATTCCCGAAGGAAATTCTAGGAAGATCCTTCTTAACATATCAAAAATTACGTATTGAAGCCACTGGAGTTGAATTTTGTACATGGTGCCAAATTTATTACGCTCGTCCTGTATATTTTCTGTACGTCAAGTTGGATTTTTTTGTTCGATTGATGGTCAGTGATGTAATGTAACAGTACAAATCGATTAATCAACATCGAGAATGACGTCAGAACGTATTTTTAGATATAAAAATCTTTCTGAATTACCATCACTCTATCATATTGATTATTTAAATTAAGTGATGTTAATTATTGATCCGTAGCGTGGCTTTTGCTTTCTACAGCTTAAAAAAAAGGGGGATTAATATTCTTTGTTTGCCACTCTCTGTTAAAAAATAATTTTTAAGTACAAATACTTTTTATTTGTCTTCGTTTTTATATATTAAATTAAGAATATTTTGCAATTCATGGCATTTAAATTCGTGAATAATGTTTTATCTAGAAACCATAAAGAATATATTCTTGTATCAAATTTCATTACTATGCGTTGTAGGAACTTGAAAAATGTTTATAAAAATCCATAAATTTCAAATAAAATCGACAATTTTATAAAAATAAAACTTTCTTTTTTTGAAAATTTGTAAGATGCATTCGTCAATTCAAAAATAATAAATATAATTTTAATGTTTATCGTATTTTTTGCATTCTATTTCTCGCTCTTGGATAATTTTCTTCGTTGTTTATTAAGTTATCAACGAGAAATAAAGGAAAGAATCCTTTATTTCTTTATGATGCTATCAACAGGATGTAAACAATTCTTTCCTTTATCCTATTAACAATAAATAATTTTTTATTTTATAATATCAATAAGAAATAAAGGATTCTTTCCTACCAAGCAATGTTCTTTGTTCCTGTAGAAATTCATTAGTATTCCTGTAGTATCTAACGCGATAATATCTTTTGTTATATGATAATATTTTTGATTTTTTTTCTTTAGTTATGATGCAGCACAACTACTATTTAAACCACGTGCTTTCTATGTTGTTATGTGCAGAATTTGACTTTACGTCAATCATCTTTTATCGAAAAGTTTAATTAAAATTAATAATTTTTAATTAAAGAGTCACCTTTCTAAACGGGTCGAAGTGATTTTAAAGTCGTCTCCTTGATAATTTCCTCAACGATCTCAATGTGATGTCACTTGTTAAACTATAAAATAATCGAATAAAATAAATTTTTATATTAAAATCGTTTAAATTTCCTACTTAAGTAGCTAAAACGGTATTTATTTATAATTTTACAAATGAAATTTTAAATATAGAAGCTGATCGCCCGACAAGAATAATGGCTTAAGAAATGTAGAAATGGAGGATCAATCAATTTATAAGATATTTTTACACGCTGATTGAAAGTGTCTAAAAAAGAAAATTTTTTTCTATATTTTTTTTTCCAAGTATCGAACATAGAATTTTACTAAAGATAAGACGGATAAATTTAAGAGAAAATTATTTAAGATAATATAATTATGATGCTATAAAAACAAAGTTATTTTATCCATTTAAAAAATAAAATAACACCAATAAAAAGTCATGTTTCATCATAGGAAGGGACTAAAATAAATTTTTCAGGATTAATATTAAATATAAAANTTCTATGTACACTGGGAGAGGGGAAAATTTTAAAATAATTTCTGTAGAAATTGGCGTAATAAATTGTTTAAATCATTAATTAAAAATCTCATTCTCAATTGAATAATTTAATTTCGTCTCAATTACTTATAATCCCTACTGCACCTGGAAAGGTTACTTCACTGCGTGGGAATTTTAAGTTAGGTATTTTTCGCGAGTTAAACACTTCCTGACAGAAATAATTACACTTAAAATTGAATATTCAATAGTTTGACAGCGCTAAAAATAATTATTTTAGGAAAGTGTAACGTGTAAAGGAGCAGGAAATGGCTCTGTTTAGCAGTCATCTGTACTTAATCAGAGGAGAGATCTTTCTGTGTTTTTAATACTGCTAAATACGATCCTTACTTTTAATTGAACCGATATCGAATAATTCTGAAAGAAGTATCTAACCCACTCCACCCAAAAATGGTCTAATGTCCTCTTTGGCAACACTAATTACATCGAATCTTCTGCACAGATTTCTGTTATATTTAGGCCTGTGGGAGTCATATAAAAGAGACTCTTGTCGCAGACATTAGCAATGGGTGTGGCTATAGGGAACCAATGCATCCGTTCAAATGTTATGGGTGTGATACTTTGGAGTTAAGCTTGTTTGACGTAACACTTAAGGCCACACCCTCGCTCCAGGGAAAGTCAGATGGTTGGAACTGGACAGAACCTACCTGGTTGAAAATCTGAATAGTTCATTTAAGTCTACATTCTGTATTAAAACGTAAGTATTTCCAGTCGATTTATTTTTGCCTACTTAAAATTACATTTTTTTTTACACTCGCGCCTCCCTATTTAAATTGCTGTTAACACCGCTCTTTCTCTCTAAAAATTACTGTAATTTGTTTATATATATACTGTAATTTATATAGGATTATCATAGAGTAAATTTAAGAGAAAATCCATTTAAAAACTTGCACCTTAAACGATCAGGTAGAGCGAAATTGCAGAAAATTGTTGCATCCACTCAACATTTTTCGTGTGTAGTAGAGTTTAAAGTGTAATAATAAATATAGAACGGTTCTTGGTAATCAAAAATGGATCGAATAAACACAATTAAAATGCATTCTTTCGATAAATAGATAGTGGTACCAATGCAAATTGAGCAAAAATAAAAAGGTATATGGTCATGCACGCCAAGTGCACAGATCGAAATGGGTGTCGACCTTTAGTCACGCTCTTATATGTAATATAAAAGAAAATTTTCTTAGAAAATATACCTTTTTTTAATTTTATTCCACCGAAAAAAAAAAATATTTCACACAGTAAACTTTCGAAATTCATCCTGTAAATCCCGCTTCACCGCATAAATTTATGCTATGCAGTGAAGCCGAATTGGTTGATTAATTAACTTCTACGCGTTTAATGTACGGTTAATTGCCTTTTAAAAGCACAAAAAAACAAATAAATTAGTGTAAGAAAACGTGCTTTATATATAATTAAAGTTTAAGTGTGTAAATTATTAAAATTAATCACTGTAGATAATTTTTTCATCTCCAAGATTTCTCAACTTTATGTTGTCGCCAGCTGACTTGAGCAGTACGGATAAAACTGATAAAATACCTTTCTATTCTTGTTTTGTTCGTTCGGCTCGAGTTAGGTGGTGATCTCTAGCGACGCTTCACGAAATTATTCACGTCACCAATATTAAACAGATCACAGGAACGTGAGAAATATTTATTATTGATCAAGTACGGTGAGTAGCTCACGTTTTATTTATTTTTTTAATATCCTTTTTTATATTAAATAAATTAACAAAATTAAATACTTATTTATTCTATAATTGTATAACTATTGAGATATTATGCTATTTAGTACAGAAACAATAGCATTTTTATGAAGTGTAGAATCAAAAAAAGTTCCATTAAATAACACTAGATGGTGGCAGGATATACTTGGTGATTTCATTTAGTTTTATAGGAAATTATCGATTTTTTTTTTCGAAGTGTTTCATTATATTTACGTGGAATATAGTTTCAAAAATAATACCAAAGAAAATGTATTACAAAAAGTCATTTGAGTTTATTAATATTATTGATAATTCTCTCCATTTAAATCCTCATTAAAAAAAACTCCTTTATTAATATTAATTTGACCTTTAAGGATATGAGATTACGTGTAAAATATTCCTGAATATAAAGGTATATAAAGAACAATTTAATGATTTTTTTTACAGCTTGACACCAATAATATCCTAAGTAGACATTTCTACAAGTGCAAAACATTGAATAAATTTAATCTCCATTACAGTCCTTGAATCAAACTTTTAAGGATGCGCTTTTAGTATAGGATATTGATGTTTACAGAGCCGAAACTATAGTAAAAATTCTATAAATTGTTTGTATATTATATATTAATCTTCCATATAACTTTCTCCTAAACCCAGGTGTGTATATAAATGGATGGAGTCTACATTAATCAGGGAAGACGTGACACATTTAATCAGGTAATCTTTATTTTAATATATAATATAGAAATAGATTCTGTGCATTAACATTAAACTAACCTTTCTTTAATTTAATGTTAATGCTTTAATTTAATAAAACACGTTGTATAAGGTACTAATAGACCCGGTGAAGTAAAAATCCCCTTATAACAACTTAAATATTAAAATTTAAATCCAAATATCTCACTTTCTGAGGCATGAAACCTTAATTACAATTAAGTAATTTATTTATTTGTTAGAAATTAAAGCAAAGTAAAAAAGTTATGGCATTTTTTTTTTTTTTTTTGGAAAAAGTCTGTAAAACCGAAGAAGGAATCCATAAAAATGGTAAATAAATAAGTATAAAGGCAAGGCACGGGAAAGGTAAGCAAGTGAAAAAGTGTAAGACATGTCTTATCTAATTTTAACCGAAATTATTTCACTTATAATTAGAAAAACTGAGAAGAAAATTGCATTACTTGATAGAACAAACATGTATTATCATACTCAAACATTCATTTATTACTATAAAATACGTTAGTAGAAATTAGCAAACGTGTAAATTAATAACGTTTATCTTTATTATCGCAGAAAACGATAAAGATATTAGAAAATTAATTCTCTTTTAAATATAAGTCCGCACGACATCCGAAAGACAAATTCAATTGAATTATATAAACAGTAAGAGAAAGAATTCACTAATATCAAATTAAAGAAAAGTGTCGACTATAATTAATATTATATTTCATTTAATTAGTTTAACTTTAATTAAATATAATTTAAAAAATGATAACGATTATTTCAATCACAATTTGGAAAAAAATAATTGCTTAACTAATATAATTATTGGGCTAAAGTGTAGCAAATTATCATTGAAATGTGTTTTGTACACCTTTTAATTACTCTAGAATTATGCAAAATATAAAAAATTCAATAAAAATCTTCTTTCGGATGCGGCTTAAAGAGTTTTCCTTCTTCGTTAGATTCGATTTATTTAATTTTAATTTTGTTGGAAGATGCGAATTAATTTTCTTGCATCTGATCTCCAATTTAGAATTGATAGCAAATTGCGACAATTTACATAAAAACTGTCCAAAATTTTTTCAAAAACAGAGAAATAATAAAAGAAATGAGCGATTTTTTTTTTCAATCTTCTATTAATTTTAAAAAATCACGTGACTTCCGGTCCAGAGAGGAAGTTCGGGGATCTCCAGTTCCTAAGGTTTCCATATCTAGTCTCGATTTTTATCTACTTAACTCCGTTCTAGAGATTAACGAAAACAGACAGATAGACGGACGACAGTGGGAATGTAAGGTCTGCAATTTGAAATTTTGCAGCTTAAGCTCTTCTTTGGCCCACCAGTGGCCAAGTGGTTCGTTCCCTGAACACTGGGAGTTCGGCCGTGGGTTCGCGCCGCGCTCGGACAGGCTGGCCACGTGGCGTTTTCCGGGTTTTCTCCAC